CAAGTATTTATGATATGCTTGTAGATTGACCTGGAGGGGACGATATCGTTCTATGTGCCTAGGTCAGTCAGCTAACGTTCCGGTGCAAATTCGACGCCGTGAAAGCGACCTAGGATATTCCAAAATCCCTTCAATAACGCCATCGAACAGTGCGCGCGAGATTGCAACTCTTTCAAACGCCAGACTAAACATCGCACGAGAAAAGTAGATTACTAGAGACCAAAACTCACATAGACGGAACGGATGGGGACCCTGTCGGCACTGTCTATATCCATTAACCAGCCCACAGAGGCTGACGATGAACAGAATAGAACACTGCAGTAAGTCAGTGCAGAAGGTAACCGGCGGTTGCCGGTAACCATCTTGAAATTTGGTTGAACTGCCTACCACAGCGTGCGCCACTTTGCGCTACCATGCTGTGCACTCACTGGCTACTCCATGTAAGCTTATTTTTTTATCATACCATTGTGGAACGATTGTTCTTGTTTTACTTGTTATATTTTGAAATGTTGATGAATAATATTTTATGGCTTTTCCTATTGTTTAATACCAGTTAACTGGTTGAGGGAAACACGCACGCATGCCACCAAAAAAGAGGAAATCGGAGAAAAATGAGGTTACGAAAAATGTGAATTTGGTTTCCTTATTACCAGCAGTTCTATTATTCCGTCCTGATTAAAACCAGTGATCATTAAATAATTAGATAATTCGGGTATTTTAATTGGTTTCGGTATTTCCCTGTTCAGTTAACTGACAATGCAGGAAAGGACAACCTATGGAATATTAATCGTCAACATTCCAAGATAAAATAAGTAAGAGAATAACATTCATGGTATACTAACAAGGGAAGCTTACATAAAGTAGCCAATCAGCGCACAGCACGGTAACGGAAAGGGATTGCAGTTGCAGTTCAACCCGCAACCGTGTCCAACTTGACACCGGATTTGATTGAGTCGCGTCCTTGAGCCATGCATACTTTGAACCAGACTGAGAATCATGCTGACAAAGAAATTTGCTGCAATGCCCCCTCTGATCTACAGCTATATCCTACATTTAATTCTTAGTGCCTGCTTTTCTGAACAGACCTTTTTGGTATACTAACCTTACCGACAAAGAAAGGGGAGACTGGAATGAGCATGTGAAGCTTTTAGCCACCATCAGCCTCAGGATTGTAAAACATTGGGTTGGGCTTGGATACGGCAGCAACAGGGCAATCCACTTCCTTTATCCGACTTTGTCTCTGCAAATGGATTCGAGTGAGGATTCAAAATGTTAAGCTAATACAGTTCTCGTTCAAGCAATCGCGTCTCATCCTGTGAATTTCACTTTCTCCTTGCTGACGGGGGTCGAGAGTGACTCCCAAGGCACTATGGAGCGGATAGGTTCCGTAACGTGATCGGCCAGTGCTACCCCACCAATGCTATCTGGTATACCTCACTGAGGCATGCTCCGACTTTCCATAGTTAGTAACTAGTTTATTACTCGCTATCCGGCATCGGTTTTCAGAAATGTGGGATTTGTCGCAAACACTGGAATACTTCATGAATTTCAGTGCATGCTGTACAAGACAGCAACGTTAAAAATCCCATTTATGCCAGAACTGATAACTGATTTTGAACGTGTCTTCGTCATATCCGAAAGATAATGCACTTTAAGCAGAAATATGAACCAGTTATAAAGCAACCAAACGTACCCTGCATTCAAGATCGTTCAGTATTCTCGCAGCATTTAGGCAGGCGATCTCACGCTCTTCCAAGAACGCCAATTTTGCAGCTACCAAGTTGCATCTGTGATAAGAAAAAAGAGGAGCCATTAACCCAGACAGATGGGGATGGGCCACTGAAATACGGATCGCCGTAGTACGCGTGGTCTAGTGATAGACTCCGTGGAGTTAGGGGTAAGGTGATTTAGGTTTAAAGTTAGGACACGAAAAAAGTTGTCCTCGGAATTTAACGCAAATCCATCTGTAGTGCGGTGGGTTCTTATTCATATGTCCAATCTAAGTGGGAAATAAGTTGGGTAGGAAACCCGTCCATCACTTCTAACTCCCTGGGCTAATATATGTACATGTATCGCTTCTGCAAATGCCGCCTTTTGTAAATGAAATAATAGGCGAGGACTTTGTAGCAGCCTCGCCAAGCCACTCAAGTTTCACATCAATGGAGCTATTGCACTGAGTCAATTCGAAAACCTCTGCGAACATTAAAATTACGCCTACTGAATTTAGTAGGCATTTAATTATTTTGTAAAACCCATCCACTATCAATGATACTTCCGCCTTGGCAAGAAATAGCAAAAAGTGGCTTTATATTGGCATGCTTTTCCATCCACATTTTCTGGGGATTTGTATTACCGCGGTCGATAGAAGGCCACATAGTTAAAAGATTTTAGCTAAACTTTCCGGAATTTTGAAATAAATTAATCGAAATGCATTAGCAGGACTGTTGTCCAGGGTTCAGGATTTAGACCAAACTGTAAAGAAATAAAATATAAATCGTGTTTTTCGGTATTTATTGTAGCTGCTACTTTACTTTTCCCAACCTTTGAAAATCATGAAATATTGGTCAAAAACGGAACGCTCAACAATAGAATTGCATTTAACGAGGATTCATCCGGAAATCCACAGTAACTAACCGTTGTTTCTGAAGGAAATCAAGGAAAGCCAAAAACGGTAGAACGGTCTCGCCATCTTTGGTAAAACTGCGAGTTGGTTCGGCGAAGACGACGATTCCAACGTCTTCTAAGAACTCAGCTTCCTGTTCTTTGTTTTTCACGATCCGAAAGAGGTCCGGAAGGACTCTTGCAGAGTCTGCGTTGCCACCTACATCGCCGCGGGCCTGGTTTATAGCAACCTGTGGGTCAAGAAAAGTGCGTTGGGACTTGTGGGCACGTCACTTTTTCTTAACCGGATCATTGACATAAACTAAGGTTACTCTTCATTTCGAGATTATAAACAGGTATTGCATGCATGTTATTCAAGAAAAAATAGTTCTCAAAAGTAGACTTTTGGGAAATGTTGTTTTCTACTTCCCAAATCGAAGAACAATCCCAGGCTTAAAAGACCCCGGCGAATCACACTGCACAGGCTAACTTCAGTAAGGTGTATGTTTATTCCTTTCGTGTGAGACTTAATCAGGGAAATGCATATTTGCGCAGCATCCACCTCACTTCTAACCCCTGTATCTACCATTTCCTTTAGGAAGTCGATTAGGATGGATGTTGAATCCCACACTAATGAGACTGCCTTAAAAGTTAAATTAAGAGCGAGCAATTGCAGTCTCGTCAGTTTGCGACCAAGAAAACCAGGACTCTTAGTAAATTGCAATAGATTAAAAGCGTAATTGGAAAACTAAAAGAATAATACAGGATGGCTAGACCTCATTCTTCCTCCAGTCTCCAATGTCCTCTGGCTTGTACGAGTTAAGGCGATTGGGAACTGCACTGAGCGTAGTAGCTGAGACTATGCGAAGTCGCCGTCTAATGTGTGTCACACATTAAATCGGACCTCACAGAGTCGAGAGCCTTCATAAACGGACGCTCACTGATTAGTTACAGGACTCAGTCATCCCGTTCGTTCTCGGGGCTCACTCTCAAGCTCCGTCAGCAGCCACACAGTGGCTAGTATTATAGACAGAAGAACATTGCCAAAAAATACGAGGGAGACTGGAATGACTATTTCTGACTTATCAGCCATTACCTATAACCATACCCAACCCCAGGTGGTGCAACATCCGAGGCTCGAACCCGTGACCTGTTGATTAGGAGTCCTATGCTCTAACCCACTGCTCCACGCACTCATCGTCTTGCCGGTTTTCACTAGGAATACACGCTCATCGATCGGCTACGGGGCTCACACCTCGTAGAAGCCACATTCAGAAGTAACCATTGCAGTTCGATTTCGTTCAAAAAGGATGCATTTATCCCATCGATGGCCAATATTGCAAGCCGAGACTTTTAGCGCCTAGTAATAGCTTAACGAACGTTAGTTTTATTATACTGAGGAATGCTCGAGATTGTCTTGGGTGGGGGTACATTTGTATCACCCTCGCTCGCTCGCTCTCACACCAGTAACCGACTGGTGAGAATATGTTTCTAAGTGGTTGACACGCCGTAAGCCTCTGTCTAACACATCACACATACGCCAAGCGATATTAAGAATTTCGCCTACGCCCTGTGCAGTATGTCTGCCATACGCCAGGATCGCATGAGACTCATATTTCAGTTCAACCACATCAGCGGTGCAACCCATCTGGAATGGTAATTCTGGTTTCTTTTCCTCCATTAGTAGATCATTTCATGACAAAAACCTGGAGTTTCTATATTTACAACCCGAATAACGCACTTGGATGCAAAATGAATGTTGTAGCGTCGTCGACCACTGGCGTTACGTCTGCAAGCGGTCACGTGATCGCAAGTATCAACTGGCTTCTGGGACAGCCAATTACAAGCGTCATAGACTGCTATTGGTCGAGCAGTTGAGCAAGCAGCCAGTGACTCACTTTCTTTTACGCATTCACGCCCCCATTACGATAGCAGGCAGACGCGCTTGTAGGGCCCGGGTCTGCCGCGCCTCGGGGCTTCAGACCACCACTGAGTTTTTATACACAAATAACTCCTACTGGGCTTACCCCGTCTCTTCCTATTTAGAACTGGGCGCGATCATTGTAGTGCTCTGACCATACCCACGGCTTAGAACCCTAAAAAACTACAGTCTTAGAAAGCATGGCCATAGGACACTTCTAAGTAACTAGGATGAGTAGTGAAGCTGTCCTGTTGTTTTAGAATATAAACCTACCTTCGACTTCTCTTCATACTGCTCAGCATAATCAGCTTCTGAGCTTATTGGATCAGAAGAAATATTAACATCCAGTTCTTTGAGAAGCAGTGATAAGTCAGCTTCGTCTTCGCTGAGCATGTATCCCTCATCCTCGTCCTTCGTTTTAGCGGCCTGTGAATCCTTGGACATCGTACGCAAAGACCTGTCTGTCTTTCTGAGGTAGGTGAGCCACCGATTAGCACCAGGTCGAATAACCTTGATGACAATTTTACCGTTCCTCTGGGTTTTCATTTCCGTGGTTTTTAATCCTTAAGGCAGAGTGGGTTAATGAAAAGCAATGCACGTGGGCAAAGATTAATATCGCGAGAGGTTCTTGATGTAGTCCATGACTCTTTACGATTAAGTCATTCCTCAAGGCATCCTACTGGAAGTAGTAAACTCACGGCCAGAAGAAGACGTTTGCCGAGAGGTGGGGTCTCGCCATAAACTTTCCGAAATCTCGCTCGCTGTTCTGCTTCCGGAATAAGTGCAACTACACCTGCCAACTGTATCAATTAATTTGATATCTTCGCATTTGAATCGGAAGGTGAGACCAGTCTACTCCGAATGGTGTTTCTGGCGCAATTAACAACGGTCTCCGTGTAGGGGGGTTTGGCAGATTTGCTTAATTCGGTTGACTCAATTGTTAAAAATTCGCGGTCTCAGTGGGAGTCGAACCCACACAGCAGGGGAAGCTTTTGTGCAGCCAACGCTCTACCATTGAGCTACGAGGCTCACCATCAGCCAAGAATTTTATCACACTTTGATAGATTTTACCCACCTAACTTACTGGTTGTATGGAATCCATCATTATGGAACAACAAGCTGACTGCCCAGGCAGGATTTCTTAAGCAATCATCTAGAATCCACCAGAATGACTACTAGGCTCACTTAACTGCTAGGGGGTGACAGATTTGCTTAATTCAATTAACCCAGTTTTGAAAAATTTGCGGCAGTCATTTGGGGAGGGGGGTAAAATCGAGCCGTGTGATTAAATTCACGGCGCATGGTGAGTCTCGTAGCTCAGTAGTAGAGCGTTGGCTGCTCAAAAGCCTTTTCGGCTGTGTGGGTTCAACTCCCACCGAGACCGCAAATTCTCCCCGATTGGGTCAACTGGATTCTCCCTATAACAGATCTGCACTGCTCGACTTGTGAGCCAATAAGAAGCTAATATCGATTAGTTTTCACGATAAGGCAGGAGTCACTGTGATAGCTCAGAGATGAAACAGTTTGCAGGAATTTGGCGTGGAGGATTGATGATTACTTCCTAGCCAGTAAAAAATGCTTTCTAACTGTGTGAGCTTCCCGTTATCTATAGTTTGCCTTATTATATTACTTCCTTAAGGAAATAATATCTTCAACTGGTGGTTGGAAAAAGGAAACTGTACCGTACTGTTCAACTCCTGTTTACGTTCACTTACCAATCTTAAAAAGCGTAAATAGAAGACTGTGCAGAGTATACAACAGATTCTGGCTGGGGTTGATTTTGGAAAGAGAGAACGCAACGTGCGCCTCTTCCTCCTTCCAATCGTGATTAGACACGGCAGTCAGCTTGCAATCAGTCTGATGGTAGGCCGTCTTGTCACTGAAATGCAATACGGGGTATTGAAAGTAGATCAGGATTTGCCGTCAGATTATCATCAATGTAGTTTCTGTTAACTTCACTCGAAAGAAAGATGGATAAACTATAGCCCTCAGGCCAGCTACCTATGGGCAGTGTAAAACGTAAATTTCTCAAAGACATTTTACCTCGTTCGTAAAAGGTATTTCCTTCTCATAAGCAAAATCGGATATTTTTTTAAGAATCTTTGTTCATAACCTTTTTCACAGAAGTAGAGACTGACCTAAGTTAGCATCGTGTCCGTGTTTTTGTCAATCTGCACACAGTGCTTGGTCTTGTTGGCTAGAACGCCCCAGGTCAATAGCCCGTCGACTCTAACCGTGCTGCAACTACAGTGGTGGCTTTCCTGACATACATTGTTATTCAGAGTCAATTGGAGGCTGCATTCACCTATGTAATTTAATCACCAAAAAGACATGAGCATTTTGATTCGGCT